CTTTACAATGTGCTCCTGTGGCTGATTATATCGTAAGAAAAGGAATCATGGAATATGCTTTTCATTTTACTCTACTTTTATAGTTTGCCTTAAAGTTTGCCCTATAGTTTGATATATTGAACGATAATCAAAATCACCCCTTTTTCCTTTTATCTCACAATTATCTTCACCGTTTCCCAGTGAAGCTAATCACCATCCAGGCCCCTCCTCCCAAAGTTTCCAGGATTGGAGGCGCCTTGGGAAGCCAAACAGTTAAAGGGCTGCCCGGCCTATTCCCTTGCTGGCTGTCCCTGGGCTGGGGAGATGAATGGAATGTCCATGAGGCTGTCTGGCAAGTTGCCACATTCCTATGGGAACATTGCTGCCTTGGCCAGGGCTGAGCCCTCAGAGCAAGAGCAGGGAGGGGGCTCACACACCAACTTGTGGGAGCTAGAGGCTGAGCGGCAATGGAGCCCAAGTCCAGGAAGCTAAGGCACATCTTGCCATCTCGCTTCGAAAAGGTTCCATGGAGGTACCAGCTGCCCTCTCTCCATCTTCACCCAAAACTTATGATAAAGGCTCAAGGATCAGATGGGGAGATTTTTCTCCTGCTGGCAAAGCCTTCAGTTCTGCAGGCAATTTTTAAAGCAACAACAGATGTAAATTCATTTTTTAAAAGAATCCGGGAGAGGAACTCTGAACCCTCAGTTTAGCTGTAAATGCTTCTTCTCTCTCCCCCTTCCCCTAGACTATAGATTTAGAGCTGTGAACCTTGGATTAGGGGCTATCCAAATCAATCCTCTCATTTTCCAGATGAGGAACTGAAGCCCACAGTGGTAAAGTGACCACACCTAATCTCACACGCAGAGTAGTAACCAGCCAATCTGGAACTCAAACTCGGAGCTTCAGACTTAAAATCCAGGACTTCTTCCTTTGTCCTACAATGCCTACTGATTTTCTTTTATCTGAAGTAATTCCCCATTTGGGGACTGACCTATTAACTTTTTACTGTTATTGTTATTATTTTGGGGGGGAGGAAGTAACCAAACAGCCTCTGATGGCGTAAAACAGGCTTCTCTCTCCTTTCCCTTCCCCACCCCAACCCCCACATCTTTCAGCCTTGAAACATCAATCCATTTTCTACAATTATCCCCCATTTGCTATAATTGTACCTTTGAAACACACTCAGGCAGCCAAGGGAGTTCATTAGCATTCTGGGTTTAAACTCCTTCTAGTCTATTGGCGGAGGAGGGGGGGGATCCAGCCAATCAAAGGTGAGAGAGCAAGTGAGGGGTCTGACTCTAACTGGCAAAGAGGGACAGTGAGTCTCCAAGTTTTTCTAAGAATAATGGTTCTTTTCTTTCCCATATCCTGGAATGACCAACATGGACATATCCCCCAGAGAAGTAGGCTACCCAGGCAAAGAAGCCTGAGAGGTAGGTGCTTCCAAACCATCTGGATGCCTTTCAGCTAGAGAACCACATTCCCATTCCAGGAAAAGAGACCTGTGTTCTTACTTACCTTTCCACTAGGTGGCAATGCTACATGGGAGTTGCCTCTATTATACAAAGGCTGTAAGTTGAAACTTAGCCCTATTAAGGACCCTGTTGGGGTCCAGCTACATAAGTGTGGTTGGGGTTACCAGAAGCAATGAATTCAGTTCCCTCTGTATGCAAAAAGGCATTCTCCACGAATGTGGGAAGATTAAAATTTCCCCTCAGGTCCAGGAACAAAATCAGCTGAGTTTATTAGCTCTGGTTGGCCTAATTAACCCATATAGCACCATAGATCTAACCACAGGGACCCTTAAAAATGATCTCTCCCAGCCTTTCCATTTACAGATGAGGAAACTAAGTCACAGGGATTGTCCAGTCAGGATTAGAACCCCAAGCTCCCAAGTCCCAAGTCACTGGTTTTTCTTCTAGATTACCTTTCAATCTGTCAAGAATTCCTTTATTAGCATTTGTCTGGGGATCTTTTTCTCATCCCCCAGCATAAATTTTGGTAGGCACCTTAAATCTCAAAAATTCTTTGAAGAAAAATTTTAGGGAAAAAGCTCCTTAATGGACAAGATCACACATATGCTTCATGAAACATCTGTCTTCTATTGGACAGAAGTATTTCCATTCGCCAATGCAGCCAGCCAACTTCTCCTCCTGATTTTTATATGCAACTCCGGCCCTGCCTCTCCCGACCAATGGCCCCGCCTTCTTGATTCTGTGCCTCCAGAAGGAAGTGAGCCCCAGTGTCTGCACGCTGGCTGGTGCTGGCAGCCGCAGGTTTGCAATCAGACTCACACCACTGCACTCCCCGCAGGGCTTGTAAACTGGGGAACTGGTTCCATTTCATCACCTCCTCAAAGTTAATAAGATTCATGAACAACCTCATAGTTAGCAGCGAGAATCAAGTGACCTTGTGGGTGTGTCGGAAAGCTCATTTCCAATTAAGACTGGGTGTACATGAGGCAACAGTGTGTCATGGCTTGGTGAAGAGAACACTGCCTTGGGAGTCCTGCTCGAAGACCAGAATCATTTCGCCACTCTGGCCCTCAGTTTTGTCCTCTGTAAAGGGGTTGGACAAGGTGCTTTCTCAGGCCTCTTCCAAGTCTAGCTGCTTTGAGCCTATCGGAAGTATTATTAGAAAATGTATGATCCAGGAAAAACATTTCAAAATGTGCCCTAGGACACCCTCAAGCCACATCAACCTTCTGAGGTACATTCAGTTGGGTAGGAGGAGAAAGAGACATTGAACAAGAGGGGATAGACTCTGAGGTATCCGTGAAGCCATTGCTGGAGAGATAGCAAACTGAGACCTGGGAAAGACCTTAACTTAAAAGGGCCAAGGTCTCCCACTGTATCTGGGGCCATTTCCAGTCGTCCTGATCCATATCCTGCCACTGGACCCAGATGGCTCTGGAGGAGAAAGTGAGGCTGGTGACTTTGCACAGCCCTGCCTCACTTAAATTCAATTCACTTGCGGATCATGGCATCACCTCCCTGATGTCACAATCTTCCAGAGCAAAATACAAACAGCAACAAGCTGGACAGATCACCATTCGAAGGTAGGGAAAGGTTTAGAGCAGAGATGTCAAACACTCCCAAGTTCAACCCGAACCTGATTAAAATGTAGTTCCTATCTGAGTTTAATAGATCGATAGATTAATTTTTTAAAAAGACATATATAAACATGTGGGATTTTCTAAGTCAATATGAGGCACACAGGGATCTTTTTATATAGTTTAATGACCCCTGTTTCCAATTGAGTTTTGACGCCACTGGTTTGAAAGAGGACAAGGCTAGAGAGAAGAAGCTTATGAAGGGATAGAAAATACCTTTTAGTAACTTCCCGTTATTTTTGCTAACCAGGTGCTAAGCTCAGTTTCTTCTACCTGACAAAAGGGTGTACTTTTGCTATAATTGTACCTTTGTACCATAGTACCTGCAGGGACCATGGAGAGCCCTCTAAATTTGGGTACTGGGGGGGAGGGGAATGAGCCAAAGTCCAGGAGGCCTGCCTTAGTTACAGGTCTGATTCCTATCAACTAAATGAAATGGGAAGCTGAGGCTCCAAAGCCTTACGTATCCCCCAAAGATCAATGTGGGTTCTAAGGGATCTCTAAAATGAGAGGTTTTACTAGCAGTATGTGTGAGTGTAAATCCCCTTTCAGCTTAAATGATCCTCCAGAAATGTATAAGATAGAAAAAAAACAGAAGGGTCTAGAGTCTAAAAGACCACCAGGAGAACATTGTACACAGTAACAGCAACATTGTCTGATGATCAACAATGAATGACTTAGCTCTTTTCAGCAATACAATGATCCAAGACAATTACAAAGGACTCATGATGGAAAATGCCATCCACATACAGAGAAAGAACTATGTAGTCTGAATGCAGATTGAGGCATACTATTTTCATCTCATTTTTTTCATGGTTTTTTCCTTTTGGTCTGTTTCTTCTTTCTTTTGTCTTTTCTCTTTTTTAAATCTCTGCCACATAGTTTTCTTTCTTTCTTTCTTTCTTTCTTTCTTTCTTTCTTTCTTTCTTTCTTTCTTTCTTTCTTTCTTTCTTTCTTTCTTTCTTTCTTTCAAAGGCAATTGGGATTAAGTAATTTGCCTAGGGTCACACAACTAGTATGTCAGGTGTCTGGTCTGAGGCTGGATTTGAACTCAGGTCTTCCTGACTGCAGGACCATGTTTCTTCTTTCACAACATGACTAATATGGAAATATGTTTCACGTGAATGCACATATATAACCTGTTTCAAATTGTTTACCGTTTTAGGAAAAGGGGAGGGGAAGGAGGAAGAAAAAATTGGAATGCAAAGTTCTATAAAAATGAATGCTAAAATTGTCTTTATGTATAATTGGGGGAAAATATTTTTTTAAAAAAAAATCTAGACCAAGGATCCTTAACCTGGGCTCCACGGATAACATTTAGGGGGTCCATGAACTTGGATAGAGAAAAAATATTATCTCTCTATTTTCACTAATTTCTAGCTGAAATTTATTATTTCATTCAATTATAAATGTAGGCAACAAACCACAGTAGTGTTAGCCACATTTGTGATATTGTCATGAGTAAAAACCAGATATTTTCATATAGCATTATAGTTATTGCAGATATCTCAAAATATCATTTATACCCATCACTACTTTGAAATTATTGTAGTTATTATACCCCACTGCTAGATCACACAGAATCAGTCTTCCTGCTTCTCTTTCTGGCCAGCTCTTGAGGCCCCGAGGCTTCACCAAACCACCAAAGGGTTCCATGCCTAAAAAATTAATCAACCTCTGATCTAGACAAAGAAGTCAGAGGGAGGGGTAGTAAAGGGAGAAGACAAGCATCTGGGGAGAGAACTGGTGGGGACTGGAGGGGAGAACAGTTTAGTGGATAATGATAGACATGTTTAAAAAAATCAGGAAGACAAAAAATATATAGAAGTACAGAAGGGCACACAAACAGAGCAATCATATTACTACATTATTAAATTTAATATTCTTTTAAAAACAGATCCATTTATGCAACTGAAGTTCATAGTTTCTGATATAATCCTCTTATATTTATATATTGAAGCATTTGATTTTATTCATGATTAAGTTCACAATAAAAAAGAACCTTTTTTTTTTTTTAGTGAGGAATTGAGCCAAGGGAAGGAACCGTAGTGAGCAGCAGAGGGTACGCTACAGGATGCTGGAGAAACACTTCTTGCGTGAGTAAGTCTAGGTTGGGGAAGCCTTGGAGAGAGTTCAGAAGGTTCTGGTTGTAGAATCTGGGGGAAGGAACAACTTACTCTGGCCCCAAGAGGCTTCAGGGAGAATAGTCTCAACCTAAAATTTGTGTCTACACCTGAAGAATCCGGCCAGGAAGCAGCTGATGTCCATCAAAACAGGGCTAAGTCGGCCAAGGATCAATAGGTTGGGACGAAAAAGAGCCAGACTGTGGTAGGAAGCGGTGCCCATAGAATCTGTGACAAAGGAGAACAATTGTAAATCATTTGCTTCCATGTTTGTGTCCAAGATTCTGTTTTCTTATAGAAAAAAAAATAGATTTTTTTTTTGTACCCAGTGTTAAAATGTGCTGGTTATTCACTAGATGACCTAAGATACCCTAGGGAAAGTGGATAGAGCACCGACCCTGAAGTCAGAAGGACCTGAGTTCAAATCCGGCCTCAGACCAAACACTTGACACTTACTAGCTGTGTGACCCTGGGCAAGCCCCCAGTTGTCTAAAAAAAAAAAAAAGATACCCTAGGTAAGAGGAGCTCAAAATTCCAAGTCCAGAAAGGGGACATCCCCCCTTCTTAGTAATGGCAACAACAAATTTTGGGGTGCCTCTGTTTAAGGTCTATCCCTCTATACAGGGACCCATGGATGCAAATTAGAACTTTCAGTGGTCCCTCTGCAATTCAAACATCTTCTAGCTCAAATTGGAAAGAAACAGGAAGTTGGTTTTGCCTTGTTGCAGACTGGTCCTGTATAGAGTTCATTCACATAGCACTTGTGTTCATTTCTACAATCACTGAATTTCAGAATTGGAAGAGACCTTAGCCTCATCTAATTAGATCCAGAACAAAGCTCAGCGGTACAAATGAATGATGTCCTTCTCCAGACCCTCCTTTGCAGTTTCAGGATTCTGCTAGTTCTCTTTCTGCCACCTACAAGACACCTCTCAAGCAGTCATTCAATCTTTGCTTGAAGACCTCCAGTGAAGTGAAGGAACCCACTAACTCCTGAGGGAACCATTTTGCTTTTGGAGATCTTGAATACTTAGAAAGATTTTCCTCCAAGATCCAAAGAAGCAGTGCAGAATAATAGAAAGGCCACTGTTTCTGGAGTCAAAGGACCTGGGTTCAAATCACTACATTAGGTGACCTTGCACAAGTGAATTAACCTCCCTGGACCTCAGTTTTGTCATCTATAAAATGAGAGGCTGGATTAGAAAGTGTTTGAGTTCCCTTCTAGTTTTAAATCTGTGATCCTGTGATCCAGACACTCACAAGCACTTCTTTAGTACTGGCAATACGCATGCAAGCAAAAGAGAAAGATAGTCCCTGCCCTCAAAGAGCTTATATTCTAATGCCGGAAACAAAACCTAAAATGAAGTTAGAAAGGGAAAGAAGTACCTTGTATGGCGCCATGGTGGAGAAGCCTGGAGAGGTCCAGCCTGTAAGAAATGAAGAGATGGGGGCAGCTAGGTAGCACTAGAGCAACAGCCCTGGAGTCAGGAGGACCTGAGTTCAAATCTGGCCTTAGACGCTTGACCCTTCCCAGCTGTGTGACTCTGGACAAGTCACTTAACCCCAATTGCCTTACCTCCCCCCCCAAAAAAAAAGAAAGAAAGAAAGAAATGAAGAGATGGCTAACCTGGGTGCCTTCTTTGAATGAAGGTTCTGGGAGGCGCTGTCCAATAAGAGGAAGGAGCCATAAGGACAGAAAAGACAGTACTTCTGAGGTTGTGTGAATTCCAGGGCTGAAGTGATCTGCAAAAATTAGGAAATGTCAAGGGCATGGTGGAAAAGTCAGGAAAGGAGAAGTACAGCCTAGTGAGTCTCAAAAGTAGTACCAAGTGTTATGGTAATGAATGTCGATATGCATTAAATCCTTGGCTTTATTGGAATATGCTTTAGGACAGTGTATTTCATGAGATTGTCATTTGCTCTAATTTAAATTCTATGCATTCGGGGGGAAAAAAAGAAACGGAAAATCCAGAGATTTAAAATTCTACCATCTGATCTAAATATCTCCTTCTCCCTCTCACTCTCTCATGACCTACAATCCCTTCATCTGTCCTTATTCTCACCATCCATCTCCCTAGTTCTATATTAAACTCCACACTGTGTGGTTTATCACTTTAGCAGACACTATCCTAGAATCTCTTGCTCTGCTTTGAGTGACCTCCTTGGCTCAGTGAGTAAGGAGCCTCTCTCCAGTCCTCCCCTTAATGCCAAGGGTTCCTGCCCATTAGGGAAAAAATTAGACTTTCAGGTAAAACTGATCACAAGTTTTTGCTCATGGGTGTTAGACCTCCATGATGGAGAGCACTTGTCTTACTGCGATTTTTTTCCATCCCCCAGCACCTAGTTCCACGCTGTGTACACAACAGGTACTCAAAAAATGCTTGTTGCACGAATGAATTAATGAATGAAATGTAAGGGTTTTCTCTAGTGGTATTAATCCACAAATATTCATTAAGTGCCTACTATATGCCAAATACAATGCTTGATACTGGCATGCTATGAGATTCTGTCCTTTTTTATCTGTTTTGAATATATTTGTTCATAACTTGTATTGAGTTCTAGACTGCAAATTCAATTCAGTTTATATTAAATACTTGTTAAACCAAACAAAGTCTTTGCCCTCAGGAAGTTTATGTTCTGTTGGGAGAGGGGGGGAGGAGACATGAACGTGAATAAGAACTTGGCTTGGAGTCCTGCCCCTACCACCTCTGTGTGTACTTGGCCAGGTTGTTTTGTCTCTCTGGGTTCTAGTCCCTTCATCTATAAAATAAGTGGCTTAGATTAGATCATTTCCAAGGTCCCTGACACTTTTTTTTTTCAATCAACTCTTAGGCACCAGTTCTCTGACAAACCATGTACTAGGCACTGAGTTAAGATTATAAATGATAGAAACAACATCCACTCACAAGCTTACATTTCAACAAAATAATATTAGCACTTTGATTATATTAAGGCATAACATGTAATTTAAATATAAGAAAGTTTTCCACTGTTTTGCAAACATATTTTTCTGTATTAAAATAATCATGCTTTTGGTATATATATTATTAATTATTCTATTTCCTCCTCATGAGGAGGTTATATCTCTGATATAAATATAGCTGGTTCACAATTATTTTCTAAATATATTGCTATGGTCTCTTCAAATTCTATTTAATATTTTTCGTTTGGTGCTTTTTATAGTGAAATGATGGAATAAATAAAGGTAAAACTACAGGAAAATAGAGAACATTTAAAGAGAAATTGCTCATTCTACTTTAGGTTACATATACATTGATTAAGTCAACTGACTGATTACATTTTTGATAGGAACTGGAAAAATGTATAGCACTTCATTATCTTTCAAAAAGTTACATGTCAGGGGGGCAGCTAGGTGGTGCAGTGGATTGAGCACCGGCCCTGAAGTCAGGAGGACCTGAGTTCAAATTTGACCTCAGACCAAACACTTGACACGTACTAGCTGTGTGACCCTGGGCAAGTCACTTAACCCCAATAGCCTTAAAAAAAAAAAAGTTATAAGTCAGAATAATAATTTTTAAAAAGGAAGCATTTTCTTTTGGGTGCCCCATTCCTTTAGAAACAGCTCTACTAGCATGACAACAGCAAAATCATAGGTAAATTGTAAATTTACAATTTAAGACAAGTTAAATTATAGGTTTATAATAAAATCATTTTTTAAAAATCTATATCCTATTGCGTGCTTGAAACAATCAAATCTTAGTTTGCTCAGCTGACACTTCCAAATCTATTATTTGAGAATCAGATCATAAAACTGCTGTGGCAAAATGTTGGATACATTCCAATTAGCAAGTTCTCTCTGCCTCAATTTCCCTATATGAAAAGCATAAGAAAGGGGATACAGTGAAAAGAACACTGAATTGGGACCTAGATTTTAGTGCAGACTCCATAACTAACTAATTGTATGAACTGGGACAAATCCAACCTCTTTTAGTCACACCATTTTACCTAGAGCCGACATTGCTCAGCCCTAGTAGAGAAGATTCTAGTGAACGAAGGGATAGCCATGGGTCTCATGTGGCCAAGAAGGAGAAGATCATGGGATGTAGAGTTGGAAGAGCCTGTAGAGATCATTTCATCCAACGTCTCCATTTTACAAATGAGGAAGCCAAGACCCAAAGAAGAAAAGTAATATATCCCAGCTCACACAGATAGTAAATAGCAGATCTGAGATTTGAACCCAGGTCTTCTGACTCTAAATCCAGAGGCCTTTCATCTATACCATGTCTTCTCTCTAGGCACATTGTGAATTCTGAAAGAGCTCTGAGGCTTGGTGAAAGGATTCTGAGGCCAGGTGGGTTCATTGTTGTAAACATTTCTCCATGTTCACGAACTGTTTACTCTGATATTTCTGGGCAATCAATTCTGTAACTGTTTTGAGGAGTCTATAGATGGAATCCTTCTTTTTCTCATGGAAATCAACTCTAATTTTGTATATTACCTACTTTATGATTCACATTAGATACCCTGGGCTCAAGTGTCTACTCCACTGCTTACTACCTCTATGACTTTGGATAAATTACTTAATCTCTGAAGCTCGGTCTTATAATCTGATAATAATAATAATAGCTAACATTTATATAGCACCGCGTGCCAGGCACTGTGCTAAGCACTTTACAATTATTATCTTATTTGATCCTCACAACAACTCTAGGAGATAAGTACTATTATTATCCCCATTTTATAAATGAGGAAACTGAGGGAAGCATGAGTTAAATGACTTACCCAGGGTCACACAACTAGTGTCTGAGGCCAGCCTTGAATTCAGGTTTTCCTGACTCCACACCCCACACTCTTTCCACTGTACCACCTACCTGATCTTTTCTAAGTGGAAGATTCTAGGAGTATATAGTATCAGGTTCCGCTCTCCTTCTTTCCTTTCCATCCCCCTTTCTCATAACCACTTCTTTCAATCAAATGGAAATCTACTATTAAAAATTTCCTTCTTAAGGGATATTCAGAATGCATGCCATCTTGGGGTGGGGGAGGGGTGAGATGGGGTGAAAATTTGGAACTCAAAAACTTGTGGAAGTGAATATTGAAAACTAAAAATAAATAAATTTATATTAATAATAATAAAAATAATAATTTTTTTTAAAAAAAGAAAAAAAGAAAGAAAGAAAATTTCCTTCTTAGTCTTTTGGTTTTCAAACTGAAACATAATGATTTGCAAAATGCTGTAAATGGAGACCAGGATACTTACACTACAAAGCTGAGGTTAAAGTTTGACTAGAGTTAGTGCCTTATCACCCCAGGACAGGTGCAGTATTTTTCCTAAACCAGCCCAAGAAGGAGAAGTATGGTACCTGCTCAGTTGGCTTTGGGGTTGAGCCAAGCTGCAGATGAGGGAAAAAATAGCTTAAGACTAGAATAGCTAGCCCAGAGAGATGTTCAGTTTGAGTCAACAAACATTCTTTAAGTAGCTGCCTTAGCAGACACTGGTCTAGCCACTGGAGAGAGGGAATTTTTGTCCCATCTACTGCAGGGGACCAAGATATATCAGGGTTTAGTTGTAATTGATTTGCTGAGGGGGGAGGGGGAAACTCCTTAGAGAGGATGAGTACTACCCTCTTGGTAATTTGAATTTAAATTGGAACCCAAGTAAAAATAAGGCAAAAGTTAGACCAGGTCAAAGACTTGCATTTCTCAGGAGTATTAAAATTCATGGGACAGAGACCAGTCAGGTACAAGATGGGAAGGTTAGGATTGGATACAAAACAGGACATATGGAGTGCTGAGGGGTTAATTTTTTGTCTGCCTCAACTCATCTCCCCAAAACTTTGGCGTTTAATAGGGGCTCTGTGTATTCCCTTTCCCCATCATTTCAATGAGTCAAGGATATTCCACACAATATATTCTTCTTAGTTGAAATCCTACCTCAGACATGTACTAACTGTGTGACCCTGGGAAAGTCCTTTTTCAGCCTGTTTCCTCATCGGTAAAATGGGGATGATAATAGCACCTATTTCTCAGTAGTGAGAATCAAATAAGGTAACATATATAATGCACTTTGCAAACCTTAAAATGCTGTGTAAGTACTAGATATTCTACTGTGAGCTATTCTTCCCCAAATTCAGCTACACAGGATCGGGGTAATTGTGGTAAGGAAAGGGAATAAATATTTAGAAGGTATATTCCAAGCTAGAGGTGAACAGCAAAGATGGCTAGAACTCAGGGGAGAAATAAGGGGATGGAGGTTAGTTCCATCTGGAGCAAATCTGACCATCTGAGTGAAGGGGAAGAGGCCAATCCCACTTTCCAACAGCTTTTTTTTTCTTAAAGTTTATTGATTTCGAAGCTACAAGAGAATAATCAGATCTTGTTTCCAGTTCCTCAGGGTTTCTCAGGAATACAGTGGCCACTGACCTCCTATTGGTACCCCATTTTGGCTGCTTGTTGGGTGGCTTAGCTACAAGTCAGGCTGGAAACATTAAAAACTTCCCAAGTAATCATTGACCACAAGAACCATAATGTTTAAGTTGAGAGCGGGGAGTGAGAGGAAGTAGGTAAAGAGGAGTGGGAGACCTATAGTTTGTATAAAAAGTAGCATCCTAGGAGCTGGAGCAGACCAAGGTGTCAAAATAAAACATTACCATGGCTCATTTACTGAGTTATCCTGATGGTAGGACATGGCTAGCTCCAAAGATACTATGCCAGGATTCTTTTTATGCACTCTGATGGGCATTCACAGCCCATCAGACTGCAAAAGATGTGTCTTTGAAAGGTAAATCTTTCTTTTTCAGAGTTTTAAATAGTTCAGTTTAAAAATGTGAGCTAAACTGATAATTATAACTGACACTCATACTCAATGGGATCCCATCAATTTAGAAGTTCCCTCCAACAATGCAGATTACAACCCATCTATGTTTACCTAGACATGCAGTGGAATTATGTGAATACAGCTACCAAAGAATCTTTGCAGAA